TCATCATTTACCTACATGAGAATGCCTAAAAAAATTAGACATATATAACTTTAATTAATATTTAGAAATACTAAATTATTATTAATAATAATTAAATCAATTAATACTTAACCTTTTAAAAACCCAAAAGAGTAAGTAAACATATTTTGTATTAATTTAACCGACATAGAATCAATTGACTTTTTAACTATATCTAATAAAATCTTTAAAAATAGCAAAATAATATTTAAGTACGTATCTTAATAATTAGAAATAAATTCACATTCACATTTTATTCAGAGGATATTTTATTTTAAAATATATAACCCCCAACCCATAGTAATATTACCCCAAAATCCATATAGAGCCATCAAAAGCGTTATGAATCCTCTTTACTATCACTTACGCACAAACCCCCCTCCACCACCAAACAATTGAATTGAAAGGAGCATCAAATGGCGAGTCCTGGCTAGAGGAGCCCTTTGAACAGCATCTTGGCCAAATTGCCGACAATTTGGGTTAACTGTAAAATTTCTGCAGGCCGAAAGAGCAAACAGTAAACAGCAAACGGCAAACGTGCAAGTTTTGACAAATACAAATGTGAATTGTGAATTGCGAATGGCGAGCACTAAACGGCGTACATCCCACATCCTGATTTTGCCATATAAAAGATGAAGACATCCCCGGATTGACAGGCCAAAGGGGCGGCGATGGAGAGGTCCTCATAAAACTCATTGGGGCGTAAAGGATGCGAATGCCTTTTAATAATAAAATGAGAGGAAAACTGCGAGCTGGACAGGAGCAGGAGCCACCAGCAGGACTGGCCTGCATAAACTAAGACTAAAGCCGCTTGTCTATGCCCAGGCACGTCTTAAATGTTCAAATTATGTAAAATAAAATGTGCGCCAAAAAAAAGGCCAAAGGAGAAGCCAGGCCAAAGGGATAAGAGCGGTAAGGGGGTCCTTGGGAGGCTGACGTCAGCCCTGAGTGACAGTGACAAGCGCAGGACATTGGGGATGGGACTGGGCGAAGGATTCACTCGAGCACTTGACAATCCTGGCAAGGTGCAAAAAAGCGAGCCAGGATTGACACTTTTCTCTGCGCAAAAACGGAAAGGATGCACTGTGAAAAAACATTTTTTAATTTTGCACTGCTGGTAAAAATATTTGAGAAAAATTAAATAAGTTGCCAAATTGTATAATTTAAATTTTTACTCATAAATTACAAAAAAAAAATTTTAATTAGATTGACATTGTCCTTTATTTTTCCCTTTGAAAATAGGCTTATAAACAAAATTACTACTTTTTTTCAAGTGTGAATTTGCCGCTGGCCATTTGCATGCCGCCGCCTCTCGATTCCCCCTTCGATTCGCAGATCCTGCGTGTCCTGGCTAATAACCGTGAGTAAGCAAACAGGTGCAGCTCGCCAGTTTGCTGTGATCAATCTTTTGCTAAGCTTTTGTTTTCGCCGGGCTTTTGTCTCTGGACAAAAGTTGGGTCGACTAGGATGATGGCGATGATGAGATGGGTTGGGTTGGGGGAATACTTAGAAGTCCCGGGATTGAGATGTCCTTTCGGGTCTGGCTGACAGGCAAACAACGGCGCGTCCTTTTTTATTGTGGGTCTGTGGGTCCGTCTCGCTTTCGTCCTATGATTGATTAGCAATTAATTAGCTACACAAATAGCTGTAATTATATGCGACGGCAAAGTCTCGGGAAAAGTGGGAGGGGGAGCAGTCATCTAATGTCAAGGGTCTCCGTTTTCGGCGGCGAGAATTACTTGCAAAAGTGTTCCACCTTTTTTTCGCGCGGCCTCGAAACTCATTTGCATTTTGTTTTCGCTATTTTTTATGGGCCAATGAAACGAATTCGGTGCTCTAACTTTGTCACTTGCGGCTGCCATTTGCCATTGCTTTTTATGAACGAATCCCGGCTAATGACACTTCTTTTGTGGATGGGCGGAGGATTCGTCACACAGCTGAGGATGCCATAGATACGAGTATCTGACTGCGATTGGGATCCCACCCCCAGACACCCTGAAAAATGCACTCAAACGAATATAAAACGGGGAATATTTAAAGTTCTGATAAGTAATTTAAGAGAGAACATTCTTGTGATTAAATAAATGCAGGGAACACGAATTTCGCTTATAAAAATGTCTAAAATTATGCTGTAAAAAAATAGAACATCGTCTTTCAGACTCAAAATTTATTGTTGCATACTCTTAGACACCTTTCGGTTTTTGTCTTGTAAATCCATATATTTTATTTGGATTTATCGTAAGATTCTCTCAGTGCACATTAGAAATATTAATAATTTTAAAGGAAACATCATCTTTCAGACTCAAAATTTATTGTTGCATACTTTTAGACACCTTTTAAATTTTGAATTTGCAAATCCACCCATTTTGTTTTTGATATATCGTAAAATCCTCTCAGTGTACATTAGAAATATTTATAATTTGAAGAGTGCCCAAAAGTAGAAGGAATCTCCTTTTGTTTTAGACCTCCACCGCCCATATGCCTTCCCTTCAGATCATTGGGCCGGGCCAAAAGTTGTGAGATGTCCTGCAGTTGACATCCCGACCGCTTTTTTGGCCGGCCAACAATGCATGACTGACCCTGTCAATAGTGGCGACCCCGAATCCATTTGGTATATCTACTCGTATATATGAGATATTTAATGCATGCAATATGGATTGTCAGGGAGCAAAAGTGCGTCCAAAACTCATGTCATTGTTTCGCCGCTTTCGAACTGGAACTGCATTTGCCCCCCGAAACTGGTGACATTGAGTGCTCCGACAGGCGACGTGTTCCCTGCTTTTTACCCCGAGTCCTGCCTCCTGCATCCTGCATCCTTTATGGCTGAAAGCTTTTGTCGCTGCTGCCGTGCCACTAAACATGTCTCCCATTTTTTTTGTATTGGCTTCCGGCCAAAATATAACTTAAGTTTCTGGTCAAATGAATTTGGCAAAGGTAGCTGGCGGCTGCGAAAAATTCAAAGCATACTTTCGGGAGCCGTCGCCAGCGAAATTCGAATTTATGCAAAAATGTTTTTTCTGCGGAATGGAAAGGAATGGAAAAACTCGGGGAAAAGCCACCACAATTGGCAGTTTAAGTGGCCTTTGTTATGTGCAAGTTTTCCACATTTTGCGGTGGCTTCTGTTTTTGCCTTGTCACCTGTTTTTCTTGTTCTCCTCACGAAACTTTTTACGATCTTGTCAACATTTTGAGTTGAGTGCATTTTTACGCCCCCCTGTCGATTTTGCGGGGCGTTCGGTTGGGGGCAGTAAAATCGAAAAGTAATGCAATAAAATTCGCTTTCATTAAAAGCATTAAAATAGGTTTTTGACATGCCATAAAAATTGTTTCCACGTAAACTGGGAAAACTGCTGCTGCCACACTTTTCCGGCGCTTTTTCTTTGGGGAGTGCGAAAGCTTCACGCGACTTCTAAATGGGAATTTTATTGTTCTGGGAGCTGTGGCCGACGCATTGCCATTAGCTGGCAACACGGCACTTCAACTCACCTAGCCATCGTAAATCCGGGGAAAACCAGGAAGATGTATGGAGAAATAGCTCATCTTCGCGTTCGCCGGTGGGGGAATCCCCCGTTTATAATGCAGAATTTCTCTAGAGATTGCAGAACTTCGTTACCCCATTTTCACAAACGAAAAAAATATATATTTAATCGTATTCTTTCCTCATCTATACCAAATGCTCCTCGTAAATTCCCCCGAAAAAATATGATGACATATATGTCATATCGAATAAATATTCGTATTCATAGCAATTAAGTGCAGACTTTATAGGTGGTACACCAAAATTCTGTGGACTCCTGGTTATTGTACAGTGAGAGAAAAAAAACAGTTATAAACTAGGGTTAATTAGTTTATACTTTAAAATAAATGTTTAATATTGAATAGAAAATAACGTATCACCATTTCCGGAAAATATTTTAAAAAATCATTTCAAACAAATTTAAAAAAATTAAAACTAAGAATTGAAGTTTATTTAATTTTTTTAGATTTTTGAATATATTTTTTATTTATTTGAAATATTTTCATATTTATATTAACATTACTGTTTTCACTAGGCTTTATTCTACCATTTCACAATTTATAAAACTTACAAGTGAAGTTCATTTCATTTTAATAAATTTTTCTATATATATAACACTATTTCTATATTCTTTAAAATTTAATTAAAGACATTTCACCAACATTTTTTTATCAGTGCCTGGTCATGTTTGGCTTGGGCAATTGGCGAACGTTGGTCCGCTAAATGGGGGCGATACAAATCGAATGGAGAATTTATTTCAACGTTATTAACTTCAAATTACGCACACAAAAATACTGGAAGGACGAAGGACGAGGGGGGCCAGACAAGTCAATGTCCAATCCTTAATTGCAAGGGACAGCGTGTGGCGAAAATATTTTGCTCGCTGGCTGCGAAATATTTTCATGATGTAATAAATGAAATTAATTTCAATAATTGCAGCTATTCGGTGCTTGGATCTTCATTCCGCTGCCATTTTATTTAGGCCACTTATTTTATTTTATTTTGGCCATGATTCGCGAACGTTTGGCGATGACCATGAAAACTGCTTAATCGGAAGAATGAATATGAACGTTCCCCAGAAAGAAAAACCCCGCCCCAGATAATAAGCAGAAATCATAAATAAACGAGGAGAGAAGCGAATAAATGTGGAAATCCTAATGTTTTTCTTTCCGTTTCGTCTTTTTATTTCTATTCTGATATTTTTGCCATATTTTTTCTTCTATTTTTTTTTGCAGCCACAGCAGCATTTTTAATATAGCAAAATTCGCTGTCATATTTGTTGCCGCCCCCCGTTTGATTTTTATGTGAACGAGTATTTTTCGCATTTATAATGCGGAGCCATATATTTTCATGAACACTAAATTAAGCAGGGTAAAATTGGGATTCCTTTGATATTGCAATCACAGGAAAAATTGGAAAATTCATACGACTTTTGGGTAGAATATTCAGTAAGCTCTGAGTTTAAGGACAAAATTCAGTGGAAAACATTTCAATCGATATTTTATATACCATGGATACATTTTGCAAATTTCTAAGTGACGATCTGTTTTGTTTGCTGAAACAGATTTTAAGCAATCTGGGCTTTGCATCTTCTACTACCGATTCTGATGAGGCTTTGGACTTAAAAAGAGTTAAGAGAAATTTCGATTTTGGAGGACGACACTTGGTAACTCATCCTAGTTATACAATAAGACACGAGTATCCAGGTCCTTTGATCACCTACGATGGTGAAGAGCGTTGTGAACCACGCTTAATACGCTTTTCCGATTTGAACCGAAGTACATTGGACCTAATTTTTAAGGCTTATAAGGAGGAAAATGATGAAATGAATGAAGAGGAACTGGATATGGAGGAACATTGTGAGGAGAAGAAGAAACGAAGTACCGAGTGTAAAGATCCTTGTAAGAAAAAACCCAGATGTAAAGTAAAATTCCAGGAAAAACGAAATTCTCGCTGTCAAACCACTTTTCCAAGAGACGAAGACTGTTTTGAGGAATATTCAGAGGATGCTTCAGAACAAAAAGAGGGTTTCAACAAGAAACTTTTGTATTTTATTAAGACTCTCTTTCCCAAGAGAAAATGCTTAAGCCAGAGCAGGTTAAGTGGTGGAAAGGAGGAGTCCAGCGGCTTCGATGAAAGTCCACCCACTAAAGAGGAAATCAAAGAGTTGGATAATTGCGCCAAGGCTTTTTATGAAGACTACATATTATCGATAAAGAATTTACCATCCTGGGAGTCTTTGAAACCAGCGGCAAAGCTGCGTTTCCAATGGAAAGCTCTAACAGGCGAAGATCTGAAGGAAACTCCGTATGAAAATTTCAGTGCGGATTTCACCAGGAGTTTTCGCGAGGCTTTTCCAGCTGCTTCCGATTCGAGGCTTAGAATAAAGAGGAAAAACACCTGGTACCGCATGGATCGCTGCCAGCGGCTGCCCTTTATTCTGCAGGCTCTACTGTACCAAGTGGCCATCGGTGCCCTCGATCCCGAAGATCACTGTGCTGTTCGAGAACTTTTTCACAAGCTGCGATAAAGGAAAAAGTGCGTGTTTTCCATTTCCATTTCGAACGTTTTATACGAACCAGATGTGTTTCTATTTTCGTGCTGAGCCTCAAGAAATTCGCAGTTCTTTTATTTTGCTCTTGAACCAGATTTTTTCGTGGAGAATAAATGGATCCCCCTGCTTTTTCCAAGGTCGTTCCGCTGACATGGCATTGGCACTCGATTAACAATTAAAGCAGCCGCCTTCAAGGTCGCGCAGAATTAAGATGGAAATTCTCAAGCAATTTCTCCCGGTGAAGAAGAAAACTTCGGAAATCAATTTCCCATGCGCATACATTAGCAATAAAAATTTGTTGTACCCCCTGAAACAGAAACAAATAAAACAAACGAGAAGTAAACTTTTTAAAATGTAATTTCGCTGGCCGGCAAATAAATAAAATAAAATGGAATTGTGACAAATCGAAAGTGAGAGGAAAGCCGGGCAAATCAGATCGGCGAATCAGACATTATGCTAATGGAAATCGAGGGAAAGTGGGGGGTTGGGTAGAAAAGTCTGCGGCTGGTGTTGGGCTTTCATTGAAAAGTCAAAGGAAAGTGGTGGGTGCTTCGCCATTTATGGCCGTTGACAACTTTCGGGAAAACCGGGCACATATAAAACGAAATGAAATGGAAAACTAAACCGAAATAGGAAAACTCAAATGGCGAACGATTCGCCACGAACTCTAACTCAAAAGCAGAGTGGAACTGTATCGAAGGAGTCGCAATTTATGGTCCCAGATATTGACTTTTATAGTGGTCCGATTCGAAATCCCTTTCCCTTCGTGCTCATAATGCGACTTCTCAGGGATTTTTGGCGGATGCCCATCTTCTCAAAAAATCGAGAAACAATTGGCAATCGTGAATTTCGCATGCCTGCCACCGCCATTCAAAAAAACCGGAGAGCCAACCCTTCCTCCCCCAAAAAATCCACCTCTTTTTTTATGACCCAAGATTTTGTTGTTTTGATATTCGGCACTTTTATTGCCTCGACCCAAGTTCGCACCTCAATTTGTCTTCGTAAATGTGAAAAATGTGGAAATTAGTTGGTCTTCCTCTTTTCGGTTGGCTTTTCTGTGGGCAAACATTTCATCAATCACGGTATGTGTCACACCTATCAGGACCGCCGACTTCTGCATCGGATCTTCCCAAAGGCTATGGCGAATCGTAAAAAAGGAGTGCGAAAGCCACGCCCCTTTTCGTCAGGACTCCCCAACGGGCTGTGAACTTGATGGCTGAGCCAGAAAACTCTGGCACACTTTTAAGCACTTAACTGGAAAAGCGCAGGCTTTTCTCACGCTTCTCATTAACAGATGATAGGCCTGGGAAATTTGTATAAATTTATAGTATTTCTCAGATTTATATAAGAGTCAAAATCTGCCAAGTGGGCCACCCCTGTTCCGAAGGTCCGATTTTCATGGAACTTTTTTACTTTTCCGGTTCACAACGAAAATATAAGAACTTCATTTGAACGGTTTTGCGAATTTTTGAGTTTTACCGGAGTTATAGGGGTCAAAACATGGCATTTTTGACACTTTTTCGAAAAAGTTGCACTCAGTCAAAAATTCATAACTTCGGAACGGTAAGAGATATCTTTATGATGTTTTCACTAATCGCTCAAGAATTATTATGGCTTTCCATAAAAAAATTTAAAAAAAAATTAAAAATTTTTTTTCTTAAAAATAAATCAACATTTTTTTTTAGTTTTTATTTTTTTCAGTGTTCTTCACCAGCTATAGAGTTTAAAACCATTTGAAAATGAAGTTTGATTCATTACGAAAAAGATAAAAAAAAAAAAGAGGGGCCCGGACAAAGGTTTTTCGCAATATCGATTTTAAGAAGGGCGCACAGCGGATTCCCATACAAAACGACAAGAAGTGCCTCATTGACAGCTGCAGTCGGCTGACGCTACGCGCGCAACGGCATGTGTTGACCAGCCAATTTTCACGAGCAAGCCGTTTTTGTATGGAAAACCGCTGTGCGCCCTTCTTAAAATCGATATTGCGAAAAACCTTTGTCCGGGCCCCTCTTTTTTTTTTTTTTCTTTTCGTAATGAATCAAACTTCATTTTCAAATGGTTTTAAACTCTATAGCTGGTGAAGAACACTGAAAAAAATAAAAACTAAAAAAAAATGTTGATTTATTTTTAAAAAAAAAATTTTTAATTTTTTTTAAATTTTTTTTGGAAAGCCATAATAATTCTTGAGCGATTAGTGAAAACATCATAAAGATATCTCTTACCGTTCCGAAGTTATGAATTTTTGACTGAGTGCAACTTTTTTCGAAAAAGTGTCAAAAATGCCATGTTTTGACCCCTATAACTCCGGTAAAACTCAAAATTTCGCAAAACCGTTCAAATGAAGTTCTTATATTTTCGTTGTGAACCGGAAAAGTAAAAAAGATCGATGAAAATCGGACCTTCGGAACAGGGGTGGCCCACTTGGCAGATTTTGACTCATAATGAGATGCCTTTTGCTTCAGATCTTCTAAGAAAGGCGGGCTTTTTTTATTTTCTGGCATTAATCGTTTGTATTACTACCGAAAAATAAAAATAAATTATTTTCTTTCTAATAAATTTAGTATTGTTTACCAGTTTAAATTAAAAAAAAAAAAAAAAAAAAATAATATTTAAACATTTTTTTAATTTTCTAAAATTATAAAAAATAATACTTTTAAGCTTTTTTTTATAGAATTCTTGCCCAGAAGTAAACCAAATTAATTCCCAAATATTTCCCAAAAAAGAAACCAAACACTTCGATAGTAAACTTTGATTTCTGACAAAGGCTGTATAAATATTTCCCCTCAACCCTCAGCCACTCAACCATTTTTATGCAAAGTCGCAGGGCAAACAGAGAAACGGGACGTGGCAACCGATGGACAAACAACATTTGTCGATATTCCGAGTAACGGTGATGGCTTTATGGTCAAGCGAGATTCCCAATCAACCCCGAAAGCTGTGCTCTTATTTTCCCCCGCCGATGATGGTCACCATTAACATAACAATAATTATGGCCACGTTTTGGATGCCGGACTTTGGATTCTTATTCTGATTTTCTGACCATTCCGCCCGGAGACATTCGGCAAACACACTCCCAAGAGTTACTTTTCTCTATGGATTCTGCAGTCATAAGCAGAATCCAGACATCCTGCATCCGGTTGAATGGATTTGGCTTCCTTTTTTTCTTTGGGGGTTGGCCAATGTAAATCGCCAGTTTGAACTGTGAATGTTCCACGTAATTAACTTCGATTGGAATTGGGGCAAAGTGCCAGGCTCCTGTTTTCCTGTTATCCTTGTCCTCAAATTTTCCGCGCTGCATTTCCGCTCATTAGAAAGCTGAGGGGACATAAATTTCGATCAGAAAACATAAATTGACAGGCGTGCAGATTTAAGAGGCGAAAGCTTAGTATCCTCCGGCAAATCCAATTTCCTCGCAGGACCTGCACGTTTCTGCAGGATCTCAGGATTCCGGCTTCTGGTTTCCAGATTCAGGACTCGTTTATGTGAGCAGGTCATGTCGCGGTCATAAATACAACAATGCCGCCGCCGCCGCCAAAACTTTCGCGAGTGTCGCGAGCGCCATAAATTTCCCTCGCAAAAACTCACGGATTTATGTTTCCAAAGTGCAGGAGATAGCACTTGGTGCTGGGTTTTTCGGGAAGGGGAGGGGTGCTATATCCTCGACATCCTCGAGATATAATCCACTTTAAAGTTCTCGGCTCGCTTTCAGCCCACCATTCACATTCGCCATGTGATGGGCCAAGGATATCCGCCTTGGCAGCCACATGCAAGTCTCCTCTGCTCTCCGAAACGACATCTTATCCAATTTGCATTTAACGCATTTTTTTGGCCAATTTCGTTTGGCCCGCAGATCTAGCAGTAAACATCCCGTTTCGGCAAATCCCATTTGCAGCGATTTGCATTTAAGGCTGTCCGTGAAATCGAGACGAGCTCACACAAAAATTAATAAAGGAAACCCCATATACCATTTTTCCCGGGGAGGGGTTCCCAAACCAAACCGCAAGTAAAAATGTTCAATAAACGTCCGGCCCGAAACGAAAAGCCCCACCGCAAACGCCTTCAATAAGTCGACTCGGACATGGACATCCAGGGGTCCGGCAGTCAATTTGGAATTTTCCAACGTTTTAGACGTTTCCACCGAGAGAGGAATATGGAGAATATAGGATATGGGATATGGCAGAGGGCACCAGCTGACTTTGACAGCGCCGCCCGCTGGCCGTTAGTTACTCCTAGTTTGCGGTTCCGCTGCTCGAAATATTGGCGCGATCCCGAGATGGGTCCAATTAAAAAACAGAAAAGCGACATGTGCGAAATGTTTGGAAACATTCTCCGACTACGAAAATACCTCAAATGGTTGTGCATACAAAGTGTTCGACTTTAAAATACTTGCAATTATTTTTCTGCCAAGAAAAGAGAAAATTAAAAAAAATTAACATAAAGCATTTTTAGAAAAAAATATTATTAATTTTATTGTATAGTAAACAAATTTTTATTCTCACCTCATTAAATTAAATGTGTTTAAAACCTAACAAGAAAGGAAGCTACCTTCGGCCAGCCGAAGCTTATATACCCTTGCAGATAAAGTAATACTCACTCGGTGCAGTTCCAGGGATTCCAGATTCAGTGTTCCTATTTTTGAATTTTGTTTTTAAGTAGTCAAGAATTAAAACGCCTTCTTCCTACAAATTAACAAGAATTTTCTTATATATGTTTGAATATTCCTATGGAAGCCTTAAGATATAGTGGTCCGATCCGGCTCGCTCCGACATATGTACTACCTGCAATAGAAAGAAGACTTTCGGGAAAGTTTCATCGCGATAGCTTTAAAACTGAGAGACTAGTTCGCATAGAAACGGACAGACGGACAGACGGACAGACGGACAGACGGACAGACGGACAGACGGACAGACGGACATGGCTAGATAGACTCGGCTATTGGTGCTGATCAAGAATATATATACTTTATGTGGTCGGAAACGTCTCCTTCACTGCGTTGCAAACATCTGACTGAAATTATAATACCCTCTACAAGGGTATAAAAATAAAGGTATAGTGTTTATCATTATCTCATAAATATCTTATATATTATAAGGTACTAAAACAAAAAAAATCCACAAACATACAAAAATATGTACTTGTCTAAATAAAGACTAAATAAAAAAGTGATGATACTAAATTTATGAACTAATTAAGTTAAACGAAAAAATGAATTGTAGAATTTTCATATATTCGCTTTTAATATTTTCGTAAATAAGCATATATTATAACCTTTCTTCGCTGTGCCCCATCATACCCCGAATAAAATCCATTAAATTAACTCGGCCAACTCGGCAATTGCCAACA